ATAACCATGAGAGACAGGACGACTCTCTGTCTGTATAACCATCTGCTTCAGCTCTGCCTACAGCTCAGAGAGGTTGTCACACAATAAAACATGTTAAAAACTACTTAGGACTCTCTCAAACAGTTGTCAACAAGTGTTTTGACAATGTTCCATCTGTATCTTCCTTCATAGAAAATGGCTAAATGGGGAAAAAAGAAGTCCTAGRTGCCAAAATTGAAACCATTTTAATGTAAACAGACCTTCTTTTACTACAACTTGTGATCTCATGTTTTCCTCTAAGCCCTTTCCAAACCCTACAAACCTGAGGGATTGGGCACAGTATGAAATTAGAAGGTTTGCCTTGATGCTGTGCAGTAGTCTGGAGGAGGAGTTATTGTGGTTTTTACATCTAATGCTGTTTATTTCAAGGAGCTTTGACTGCTGACAATAGATGTTCTAAAAATGCTGTCAGCATTAGAGCCATGGAGATGCATTTTCAGGCACATAAAGATGAGCATGACAAACCTGTTACTGGCCCCACCCTCTAAAGTTAAGACTCAGCCCTGGGAGAGAGGTGAGGATACCACAATGTATCAGACAGGTTGGTTTCTATAATCCTCAAAGACACAAATAGAACATACATTAATTGCATGAGCATTTCTCTCCTGTGGCTACACCCTGTCTAGTTTTATGAACCTCTGAACCAACACCCCTTTACCTCTCAGTAGTTACTCTTACTTTCAAAAAGTCTCCAACCTGTTAGAGACCCAAGCTATGGGCTTCTGAAGCCAAGGACAGCTTTATGAGGGCTGCCACTGCCTCTGAACTAATTTCCATCTTCAGTGCRCATGACAGCGTGAGAGTTTTGTCAAAATACATAAACACTGTGTAACTATTAAAAAAACAAGTAATGATCTAGCGATCTAGAAACAGGCCAAAAAGACCCAAATGTGTACAATAACTGGTTTTTTTTTGTTTGTTGTTTGTTTGTTTGTTTGTTTGTTTTGTAACAATGTTTGGAAGTAGTTAGAGGCAGTCTAGCAGAAACACATAACTGCTCATTTATTTTCCTATTACCTCATACTGGACCACCTCCATATAGCCAACGCATTTTCGGTTGTCCTGGACTCCAAAGGTTCTCATTATTCTAATCAGTGTTACAAGATTTACCTGTTTTCTGGTGGGTTTTGAACAGACTGGAGAAATAAAATACACAGAGGCATCAGTTTTACTACAATCATTTGAACACCAGCACATGTTGATTTGTGACAACATGGAAGCTTCAGAAACACATTATGGACAAAGTACTGTACATAATATCTCATTATTGTCCTTTTCCTACAGTCCTTTCAAGGTTTCATTACATGCAGATGATGAAATCTGACAGAAAAGCTGAATGCAAACATTCTGAAGCTCTCCTAATAAAAAGTTTCTGAGCATATCTATAATATAGTGAGATGTGTAGCAATGTCTACTGTCCAAAATACCTGTTGGCACTTTGGAGCATCAGTATTTCTGGTTGTTTCTATCTTTGTCAGCCTTAACCAGTTAAGAGTCATCATGGATTCTCAAAAGTCATTAATTTTGATAGAAAAACTCTAATAAGACTATGTTTCACAATTTGGTATAATACCTGACCTATTTTCTAGGGACGAGACTTTGGTTATCTTCAGGAGGGTACACCCAAAACCAATCAGGTTTGCAGCCTCTGAAGAATCTCAGTTAGACCGAGATTACCACACACCCCGGTGGCACTGATCACGCTCTCTCTCTCCACTCATCTCGATGATCTGCTGACCACGGTGCATGTCACAGCCCCACCTTGCATCGTTTCCTGATACTTCGGCAGTGACTCACACATCCTTGCGACTTTCCCTGAAAGCAGATTTTGTCCCTTTTCTGTGCCTGGGGAGTTTCACAAAGCCCACTTACCTCATTTCTAGTGAAGACCTGGAAATGACCTTATGGCATATCCCAGTATCACACTAATTTTCACTGGCTTCAGAAAGAGCTGGATTTATCTCCTTGGATCGGTTTCAAAGCTCATTGAAGACAACAGAAAATCTCCCAATGGCTCTTGAGTATTTTAGTGAACGAAAATATTCTCCAAACACATCTGGATCAGATGTAAATTACAGAGTAAAAGCTGAAAAATACAGTTTACACGTGTTTTCCTAATGTAAGTTACATACTTTGTGGATGTAGGGCTTGGTTACCGATACTTTTTTTCTTTTTTGCTATATAGTAGAGCCAGTAATGTGCTTGTAGCATTTAAATTATCATTTGTCTGAGCTGTAATTATGCTTTAATAAGAGTAAACCACAACTAGCCTACACTGCACTGCCTAATCAGCAGTCTGCTATTTGATAAGAGGAGGTATCTCCAGCAGTTGATAAAATCATCCTGTTTATAATYGATATGCAAGGCCTTACCTTTAGAGCTGTGTGCTGAGGAAAGTTAATACGGAATAGCCATTGAATAGGGTCACGTATTTCAGCACAAAGAGGTACAATCACCACAAAAGGTACAAAACAGACACGGCCTCCCAAATGCCCCAGACACCAAGGTACCTGTGTGATACACTTCAGCACTCAGGCCTTTGTATCTGTTCAGCCTCAATCTGTTCCACTGGCTTTGCTTCTCATGGAGAAACTGCCCTCAAAAACAAGCTGGAAAGAAGGTAAGATTGACACTGCTGTGAATGGTCCCTCATTTCTATTGCCTTGCTGGTGAATGACATCATGTAGAGCAACTCTTCTTCAAAAATACTGAGCAACGTTTAAACAATAATTTCTTCACATTTAGAAATCTGGCGAGACCGCAGACAGTGAGTTCCTTATTTGCTCCTGCAAACTGGAGCTGAATTAAATGCTAAACTACAAAAACTAGCATGATGCACCCATGTTTGCACCACAGTTATCCTACGACTTTCTACAGGTGCCAACTCACAACTCTCAATGTGTCACAACACAACAGGGCCAAAACACACCGTGAGAGGCTCTAGTCCACACAAACACCCTAAGGCCATTCACCCCGGGATACTAAAGGTTAAGGTTATTTTTTTGACAACAAGGATACCTATCTGGTATTTGGAGGTGGTTGTAAAAACAGGGCTACTTGCAGCAGTAGCCACTGCAAGGTTTCAAGACTGCTTGGATTTGTAAAACTAGGCATAGAGGTTTACCTACACAGAACAAGGATCAGGAGAAGAAAGGGGACCAGCTGTACAAGAGGACCAGCTCTACCCAGCCTGTTCTGCTCTTCTACATTTACGTATTAAAAAAAAAAAAAAAAAAGCCTATCATAACATTTATTAGTCCTTATTATCAAGGCTATCAAGGCTTACGTAGTTCAGCTTGGCAATTTGATAATGACAAGACAGCTGTTCTCATCTTGAGCAAACCAGTACATTAACATGGAATAAGAGGTTTATAGTAGGGCAGGCATTTCTGAGCTTATTGATCCTACTCATCTTTCTGGAAAATGCCAGCACCTAACAAAAGCGGTGCAAGAAGTCCACATCTCTGAGACTTCAGTCTTCCCAAGTTTTCAAATGGCTAGGTCAAGCTCTCATTTTGAGTCTTTGACAAGCATATCAGAAGAATACACTTACAGAGCAAAAACCACACAAAACCATAAGAATAATCAACAGAAATGCTGCAAAACTCTGAGTTGGGCTGTACCAGGAGCAAATCCCAAACCAATTCTTTAACTCGTACTGATTTGAGGCAGCAGCAGGACACTGGAGACAAAAACAACATACAAAACSAGGTACAACACAAACACAGCTGTGCACAAAACCACTAAGACAGTTCACCCGCACTTCCGCTTCGAACATGCAGTTTCCAAACGGTTTCACTTACTGATACCCGTATGTTTGCAAAAGCAGAAACATGTTTTTATCGTGCAGCAAACTGGTAAGCGGAAGCTTCAAGTCTTTGGGCAGTGTCATTCCGGTTTTATCCTGTACTAAAGTAACCTGTTTTTCTAGGGCTCTAATGTATCTTTTAGAAAGATCTATGCATATTTTAACTGAATTAATAAACTCAAGATTCATAAAGCATTTTGGTGTACCATACCTATCTTTTGTCTTCCATTTTGGAATTGCATTTACACGTTGGAAAGCCATTTTAAAGCCTGTAGCCCGCTTTCCCGTGTTTCCTCCTCGACAACCTCGCAGGGCCCKGGTACTACCTCCCGTTTTGTAGGTTTCCACAAAGCTGCGCTGCTCGGACACAAAGCACTCAGGACTAATTTTTGCCTGAACGAGGAAATACGGATACTACAACACCCGTAGCGAGTCTTCACAACAAGCAGCCCTGAGGTAGAGGAATCTACTATGTATTTTCGAAAGGAACCATAAACGAAAACAAAAMACACATAACCAATAAGATCCTTACGAAAGAGTTTATTCTGTACCGATAAGCGGCCGGTTTTTTAATTTACTGAGGAATTATCAGGAATTATGTCAAACAAGACACCCCCGGATGCGAGCAAAGCTCACTGTAAAGTGTAAGTGTATTCCCTGGTTGCTCTCAGCTCGCCGAGAGGATAGTGGAAACACCTCCCCCGCCTGTCCCGAGCAAAGAGCCCGGGGCCACCAGGCCAGGCCAGCGACTTGKGGCCGCCCCGGCGCTCTGAAGGTCAGCGGCGGGCGCGGGAAGCCCCGATCCAGGAGGGCCGCGGSCTCTGCTCCCCCTGCCCGTGTGTCGCAGGGCAAACACGGAGCTCCCGCTGATGACTAACACTTTCCCKCGACGGCGGGGGCAGCCGTCCCCCGGCTCCCCGCGACGGCCCCAGCCCGCCGTCCCTGCGCTCGGGCGGGGTGGTTTCGCAGCCCAGGCACAAAGCGGGCACGGCCGCGCCTCGGGACGCCCCTCGCACCGCCGCTCCCCCTCCCCATTCCGCGGCCGAGGAGCTGCCGGGGCCGGGCCGGGAGCGGCCCCGCCCTGCCCCATCCAGTTTCGCCCAGGTGCGGCGGGAGGAGGGGGCGGTGGTGGTTTAAGAGCGCGCCCGGCGGGGCCGGGGGAGGAGCCGCCGCCGCTCCCCCCGCGCGTCCCAGGTGTAACCGGAGCCGGGAGGGCGCGGCGCAGCCACCAGCACCTGCKGAACCTGTCGGGTGGCTCACAGAGCTCCGCCGCCGCCGCGCACGCACCGCTCCCTCTCCGYCCGCGTCCCCGAGGACTTTCCCCCGGCCTCTCCGCACCCCGCCGCCCGCTCCAGCCATGAAGCCGCTCTGCGGGGCCGCGCTCCTGCTGCTGCTCTGCGCCGCCGCCGGTGCCCAGCAGAACTGTGAGTGCCCGCACCCCTCTGTCCGCCCCGCGCCCGCTCCTGACCGGGCTCCCCGCCCCGGGCCTCCTCCCGGCCCCGCTCGCCCCAGGGCCGTCCYTTCGGTGCCCCGTGTCGCCGAATGCGACGGCGTTCCCCTTCGCCGCCTTGGCCGGGGGTGCGGAGGGGACAGGAGCGCCCGGCCCCAATAACGCCCCTTTGTCCGCGCCCCGAGGGGAGCCTCGCCGCTGCGGAGGAAGCCCTCGCCCTGCGCTCGGTGAAGGGAGGGCGGGTGGCCGCGGGGAAGCGGGGGGTGCGGGCACGCCACGCCCGGCCGGCGAGGGGCGGCTTTGTGTTCGTCCTGCTCGGCGGCAGAGCGCGGGTGGCGGTGCCCGGCTCACGGCCCCGCTTCTCTTGCAGCGTGTGTCTGCGAGAAGAACAAGCGTGTCACCAACTGCAGGCTGGACAACGGCCGCTGCCGCTGCGACGCCATCGGCTCCGGCGTTACCGTGGACTGCACCACCCGTGAGTAAAAGGGCACAGCCGGGTGGGTGACACGGAAAYGCTCCCGCAGAGCGCCGGGAAATATGTGGGAATGACCGCTGAGACACCAGCAAATAATGGAGTCGAGGAAACAATGCTTCTTCCTGGGCTTCCAGGTCAAGTGGTGGCGGAAATCAAGCGTTTAGGGTTCCTCTGCTTGTACTGATTTCTCCTCACTATTCGTCCTACAGTGGCAAGGATTTCTCAAAGATGACTCTTTAGCTTCCCTGCAAGTAGTACATATCTTTACTTTTCCTACAAGTCTAGAGGGGAAAAGAGCATTGTGTAAGATCAAACTCAGAATTCGAGCTCAGCTAAGCTGTGAGCGAGCCTCTAGCTGTGAGGAATGGAASCTGTGAGTCCTGAGGCTGGACTTGTTAGACCTTTGCCTTGAGGGGCTGACGTACCCAAGTCGTATTGATTTTATGTACCGCTTACGCATTAGACATCTGCTCGTCCATGTAATGGCTTCAGATCCACTTGCTGCTGATATAACATTGTGTTTGTACAGGCTCAGAGCTCTGATTTGGACACGCGTCATGATGCTGCATAATGCGACTTTCTGGTTATTTTTAGTGACTTCAAAATGCCTATTGATGAAAGCAGAAGTGATGGGCTCAAAATCGGGTCGTCGTGAGAAACCAAAAGATGCGTTTGAAGACACCGATGGCCTCTATGATCCTGAGTGTGAAAACAGTGGTGCTTTCAAGGCGAGGCAGTGCGATGGAACCACCTGTTGGTGTGTGAATACAGCTGGAGTCAGAAGAACTGAGAAACATGATGCAGACCTAAAGTGCAATCAATTAGTCAGAACCATGTAAGTCTTTCAACAGGGTGTGCTGTGACATGAACACATTCCTGTATGAGGCTCTGCCTTGTGTGGATGATGCACTGGGGATGAATGAAGATGGAGCAATCAACACTTGGTTGCTGCTGGGTTTCTTATTTCCTCAGAAATAAGAGACATTGAAGGGGTTTGGAAGAGACTTTGCTTGCTTTGTTTTTGTCTCACTGTTCTGTTTTTTTAGCCTGGGGTTGGATTTTCTTGATATGTTTTRTATGCATGCACTTCAAGAATATTCATTATACTTCAGGTGGATCATCATTGAAATGAAACATGCTGAGAGAAGTACTCCTCTGAACGCTGAATCTTTAAAGAAGTAAGTGATGATAGTAAGATGTCATGGCAGTGTCTGCATGCCTTACTGGTAACACTCTTTTGTCTAACRCAGACAAAAGAGGTGTTTATTTTTCAGTAAGTACATCTTCACTGTTCCGGAGTTAATTGAACTTAGTATAAAGGCAGTGCACTGGGTTTGGTTGGAGCAGAACTAATTTTCTTGTTAGCAGATGCTGTGGTGCTGTGTTTCAGACCAGTGACCCAAATGGTGTTGTTAAAGGCACCAGAGTTTCAACTGCTGCTGAATAGCACTATCATAATGCCAAGGCCTTCTCAGACTTTTCCTCTGCTGCCCCAGTGAGTAGGCTGGGGATAGGCAAGAGGCTGGGAAGGGGACAGGGCTGACCTGAATTGACTGAACAGAGACAGACAGCCCATATTGTATAACGTCATGTTYAGTAACAAATCTGGGGAAATTTTTTTCCCAAGTAGCAATTGCTCAGAGGTTGCTGGACATGGATCTGTTAGTGATGACTGATGACTTTTACATCACCTGGGGTTTATTTCCCCCACTCAGCCCTTTCACTTACCAGACTGTCTTTATTTTAACTGATGAGKGTTGTTTTGGTTTTTTTTTACCCTGCTTTTGCCCTTCTGATTCTTTTCCCAATCGTGCTAGGGAGATGTGAGTGAAAGATTGGGTGAGGGTTTTGCTGCCAGCTGAGGAGAAACTGCATAAAAAAAATTACACTGATCTTCTCTACCTCTGAGATTTTATGTGTGAAATAGTACTGCTTTTAACAGCTATGACTTTCATATCCTTACAGGTTTTTCACAGATACTATTACCAGTCGTTATCTGCTGGATGGCCGCTACATAAGCAGTGTGCTGGTAAGAGGCTCATAATTTTTAATAAAGTATTAGAACTTTTTTGTGTTGTGAGTAACTTTGAAAACTCTTATTTGACTAATGTAGTACAGCCTGAGTTTTAGTAAAAGCTCTCAAAATAGTGACACTTACTAAGCAGTTTGCAAACAGCTGTATCTGAACAGAAATGCTGAGGAGCTATCTTGCTCTCCTTCCACTGTGGGTGACTTCTTTGCTTCATTTAAAAAGTGGAATTTGAATCCTACTGTAAACAGCTGGCTTGAGTTCAAGAACCATAAAATTGATTAACGATGCAAGTTCACAAACTGGATCATAATGCTTTGGTAAATATTATATAATCAAATTTTTAAACTACCTCATTGTAATACCACCCTATATTTTTTTTGCAGTACGAAAACCCTTACATTACTATTGATTTGAAGCAGAATTCCTCAGACAAATCACTCGGAGGTGTGGATATAGCTGATGTGGCCTACTACTTTGAGAAAGATGTAAGTGTGTCACGGGTAAAGCCTCCCCAAGGCTGGATGTGTGTATTGCACTGCATTCAGGAGTCTGGCTGTGTTCTGGCTAAAGCAAGGTAAATTATTCTTGTGGTGGCATAACTGCCTACTACAATGTGAACTAGCAGGTCTCTCTTTTCCTATCTGTTTTAGGTAAAAGGTCAATCCATCTTTCATAATAATCCTGGGTTAAACGTCAGCATTGATAATGAAGATGTGAAGCTTGAGAGGACAGTGGTCTACTATGTTGATGAAATAGCACCAGAGTTTTCCATGAAGTCTCTGACTCCTGGCCTGATTGCTGTCATTGTGGTGGTGGTAATAGCAATAGTGGCTGCAATTGTTGTTCTGGTAAGTTCTAGCAAAGCTGCCAAGCAGAACGGTACCAGTGCGATTTGGGAAGTAACAAACACGTATTTGGACTCTGATAGAGAGTCTTCCTTTGTAAACTGGCTTGCTTCCTCAGACTTGGGAGGTGGGAAATTGGTGATGGGCATGCTGTCACCGTTTCAAGTTACATCTGAAGGGAGTCACCGGAAAGACAAGTACTGGGAACAATTCATTGAGGTGAACAAAGTATCTCCTGGTTTAAGGTAGCTGAGAGTGACAGACGGGAAAGGACTGCTTCAAGTTTTGTGTTTTTAAAGTAAAAAACACATGAAGTTACTTGTATATCAAGACTTAGAAAATATTGCATCCTTCTGTTTCAGGTCCTCACAAGGAGGAGGAAAGGGAAGTACGTGAAAGCTGAGGTAATTAATTTGTTTGTGGTGTATGTAATGAAATTCAGTTGGTGGTGGGACAGAGGTTGTCCAGAATCCAGAAACTCCTAAGCTTGCTCTATGTTAAAAGCTTGCTCTATGTTAAAAGCTTGCTTTGGGTGCTTCAGGTGTGTTCGAGGAGACTGAAAGTATTTAAATTCTGTTGCTCGTTTTCACTTCTCCGTAGTTCTGCACTAGTTTCAAAGGGGACTGCTGATCTGCTGCTTTTCCCAGGGCTGAGGGGGTGGGGTTCAGTTTTACTGCAAGTTCTGTTTTACATATGTATAGCGAGGGGCTGTGCAATCCACAGGAAATGCTGATAGCCTTGTTCTGTGATGAAGACCTTTACTGAGGTATTTGCATGGATCTTGCAGTTTACATTGAAGAGCTGCTTTCAATGGAATTGTAAATGGTGCTTCAGGTCAGCTGTGGAGCCTTTTTGTGAAGGAATCCAAACAATGTTGTGGCTAAATACAACATTGTTTGCTTTTGGGTTTTTTTTTTTTTTAGATCTGGTAGTTTTGGCACGGTTGATTATGTTAGTATTGCATCAAATCCATTTGTTAGCAAAAATCTGGGATGTTAAGTCTCAATGGCTTACTCGGTCTTAAAGTTGAGAGGCAGCACAAATGTTGATCTCCCTCTACCTCCTCCCCTCCAGGTGAAGGAAATGAACGAAATGCATAGAGGATTGAATGGTTAACTAAGTCAACTGAAGACAAGTACTCAAGCAAGAAGACAACAAAACACTGGAGGCATCAATCTTAAATCTTAATTGCCTCCCTTACAGGAGGAAACGTTTGTGCTCACTTCATGATTGTTAAAACTCCTAACAGCCAAGACTGGTAACCATTCGACTACTTTTACTATTTGTTGAGAGTTAAATGCCCCATCTTTCTCAAGTTAAACTTAAATATTGCTCCCTGATTTTATAATTTTTTTTTTTAATGATGATGAAGCGAGTTGACAACTGCTGTTACTAGGGTTTTGGAGCACACATGCTTAAATGGTTATTTYACCCTTGTGGGAGTTTTATTGAAAATAATGATTTTGTAGCCGTTTTGTAATGAGTCTGTCTCCTGTATAACTGAACACGGCATTTTTATGGAGGTTTGTACATATTTGAAGTTGCTGTAACTTTTTTATGACTTGAATTAATAAAACTTTGAAACAGGCTTCTAATTCTTCCATGGTGAAATGATAATCTTCTAAGTTTGCTTACAAATTCGTAGTGTAATGTTTCCTTATGGCAAGGAACCTCAGCATAGTTGAAAATGCTGTAGACTTCCAATTAGCAGTTTTTAATGGCCATCTACTATCTCAATAGCATCATATTTTTTCTTAAAACTGTGAAAAGTAAGAAACAAGAGTGAAATAATAATATAGGGATGGTATTATAGAAAATTAACAGGCCGAGAATGTAGTCATTTCAGGGATGCATAGTCTGCTCTTTCCAATGCTATATAAGTATTTAAAATAAAATTAGCTAGTAATCTAGAGCATCTCTGGTGTAGGATTTTGGGTGGGCGGGCCTGGCCATCTGCTGTTGGAGCYGGGGAAGAGCAATTTACCCCATGACTGGCATTTTTGTCTGTGGCAAAGCTGTGGCACAAGCAAGGAGCTGTTTCTGCTGTTATTCCTGTTCTCTGCCATGGATGCTGACCAGACTTTCACAGATCTCTGCCTTCCAGAGSCTTCCTTGGACAAGAGAAATTGCTTTGCCAAGCTGTGCCATGGATGTTGGATGTTAGCAATCCCTCCAGCATATCTGATTTACAAAGGAAATGCTGTAACTCCTCTTGCCAAAGAAATAATGAGATGCAAGATAAGAACTGAATGACAAACCTTGTTACTGTGGTGTGTGTTGTGACCCATCCTGGCTAAAACAGGAAAAGTAGGATAAACGATTGAGAGGATATTCTACATACTGTTCATGAAACGAAATGTGAACCATGCCCCACCAGTGTTCCTGCTAGATTTAACAGGGGAGTTGCTGAACTGTGGTGGTGTTTTCTCCACAGCTCATCTGTATCCCTTCTGCCTTCAACAAGGTGGTACCTTCCATGCATGCATTATGTGTTGGATATGGTACAAAAGTCCTGAAGTAGGGAATTCACTGGGATGTTTTGGCAGCCTTTGCAGGCAGTTTTGTCAGTGATAAGTTCTGCAGGGCAGGCTCTCCCTCTGCTGACCTGTGCCATTCCCTTTCTCCACAGGTATGTGGGCAATCTGCTGAGGTGTGATGAATTTTGTACAATTCTGTAAGCTGTTAACTAAATAAATCCGAGTTTTCAGTAAGCTGGTCTTGTGCTGGGTTGTGTATATTGTCTTCCCCAGTGCTTCATCTCCATATCCTCTGCTTCCTTAAAGGGCTGCAGCAGGGTGTTCTTGCCCTTTGTTTCTTCTTCCCAATGTTCTAATGCCATCGTTTTGTCTCCTCCTCTCCCCCTCTCTGTTGCACACCACGTTTTTGGCCTGTGGGATGGAAGGAGCTGTTGTATGCTGTGGCTGGGCTGGAGCTGCGCGTGTGCAGACTTGACTGGACTGGCTGCTCTGAGGCTGCTGCGTAGCCTGAACCTTGTCCTGCTCCGTCTGTTTGAACATCTCTCCCTGATTTTCCCACAGTACAGAGAGCCACTTAGGTGCTTTTCAATTCTTTAGTCTTAGTGGAGCTTTTGGTGTTAGGTACGAAGCTTAGTGCTCTATTGCAGTCTTCTTGTCAAATCTGTGAAACTAGCCAAGGGACTAGAAATACAAAATTTATAGAAATTCTTAARAAAGAGTAACTAAGTCTACAATTGAAGGGAATGTACTGTTTCTAAACTCGGTCACTGTGGTACAAATGTACTGCTCAGCTCTCGATTTGGTGATCAGTAATAGCTTTTCATTAATTTGCTGTTCTAAATAGTTCTATTGCCATTTATATTGACTTTTGTGGTGTTTTGTTTTGTTTACTAAACACTGCACTTKTCCAGCTGCATAAAGGTGTGTATTTATAGGGAAATGGAAAAGGATGACAGGGAAAATACGTGAGAAATTAGTTTATTCTGTTTTATAGGTTTTTATACTCACAGGAGACTAATGCAGTGATATTAAAAAAAAAGAAGCCATTGTCAAATTATGTCAAATCTCCATGTCTGCATGCAACAGTTCCTCTCATATGTAGAGCAATACAGCAAAAATTATTGCTAATGAAAAATAATAGTACTAAACAGCAAAATACTGTTTGCTATTTTGATACTTGAAAAACAGTTCAAAAGAGAAAGTTAAAAAGAGAGCTTCCTGGAAAAGAAACAAACTAATAGAACTTAATAAAGGACTGCCTGCCTCTGAATCAATTTTTAACTAGGWAAATATTTTGATACTTTCATTTGTCTTATTCATTAACTTCTTTATGTGAAGGAGCATATTTTTAAGTCTAAAATTCTACACAAGGTGAGACACCATGTTTTCTTTCTTCTAATGTAATGTCAATTTTGAGAAAGCAYACAAAGGGCAGCTTGAAAATGTATYAAATAATTTGAAACTGAATAAAGGAGATGTTTGTGTTACAGAGAGGAATAGACGCAAACTGTGCAAGAAAGCCTAGTAATAATATATACCTTAGCACCTACGTACAACATGGGAAAATAGTGCAAATCTATTAACTCTTCATAAATTATTACACCAGAAAATATGTATTATTATTACTGCTGAGTAAAATGAAATACATGTTTTATGCAAAGCCAGACTTTGTAGAAGAGGGTATGCAAATAATGGATTTGAGAAAGCATGGCCAATGAAGTTTATACAATGTTCTTCTAAGACCTAAGGAATGCCAAAGCACAGTTTCCACAGSTACAAAATGAAGGGTCCGTGTTGCATGTGTGGGGTCTGTTGACAGTAGTGTATCCATTACCCTCCTGAAAGGGCAGAGCAGTTTGGTAAGAGAAATAACATTGTTTGTGAACCGTGTTTATTTATATCCTCACCTGCTGGACTTTGATCACAATAATATACACTGACTTTGGAATACTTGAAGTAGCCAGAAAAATATCCTGGGAAACTAAAAATGCTAGCAGCTCTGCTGCTTATATATTTGTAAGTGCTGGTTAGGGAATCCTTGCAGCTCCCAGGAGAGGCTGCAGTCTCACCAAGGTCCATCATGGGGCATGCAGGCAGTCGGGCACGCTGCAGGGCTGCTCTGTACGGTCGGAATAGCTGGGCCCAAACCCGCAGCGTTTAATGAACTTTGCTAAAATTCTTGTTTTAGTGAAGACATGGAATTGCAGACATGCACGAGGGAAAGGGTAGTGGATGAAAAGGAGGTGGTGTGTGATRGTAGAGGAAATAGTGACTGGCTCATAATGTGTAAAAACACATGCAAGAAGTGTTCTTTTCTCTACTATCCTCTAAATGCACTGCAGAAATCTTACACTTGCCTGCCAAGTGTAAGACCGTGACTGTGCCAAATMTGGGAGAAAAAAGTAAGTAAAAGAAAGTTAAAAGTTTCTTTACAAGGCAACAGCCATATTTTGTGCTATCAAACTTACATTATCTAAATATTCTTATCTCGTTAATGTTAAATCTCGGCTGCACTATGGGTGTGCACACAGATACACATCAGTCTGATACCAGATTTTCTGGTGATGGCCCCACCAACTCAAAAGCAGTAGAGCTGCCACTGATCATGGCTGTATACTAATTAACCACTGCTGAAAAAAGCCCCTCTTTTTTTTTTTTTCCTTACAAAGTGGTTAAAGACATCCACTTTCCTAACTGAAAGGCCATTGTAACTTTTCTCTATTTGCTACTTATGCCTAAGAAGGCAAAAAATTMATTAAGGTTTAGATCAGTGCCAATTTTCCATGGGCATAACAATTACAGACATCTCASTGCCATCACTGCTGGTGGGGAAGGGGAAAAGCAGGGAGTGTTCTGTCAGATAYGGCACGGTGAAACAGCTCAGCGGTCCCCATTCCGAGTGGAGCGCCCGTCCCTGCTGGAGCCCGCAAGATCAACGGGACACAGAAAACGGCAGAGGATCRGTGCAGAGCTGTTCTGTGCAAGGGATGGCACAACACAAATGTTTACCGGCTGTGCTCACCACGCTCAGGGCATTAGCGGCCGATTTGGCTGGAGGCTGGCTGCGAATGGGAGCCTGCAGAGCYGCCTGGAGCAAAGTGCTGCTGCAACCAGCCCAGGCTACAGACAGGGAAACGTTGAGACATGCAGCAATTACAGCTCAGCAGGTATTATTGCATTGCTTTTTAAAGTGGCCATAAGGTCCCTGGAGTCCACCCTGTCTCCAGATGTTTGTATGGGACATTCCTTTTCTGCATGTTCCATCTCCTGCCTTATCTGTAACCATCGGTGTATACAAAGACAAGCAGTCTCAGCTATTCAAAATGTGGTTTTGGGCTGACCTGGTATTATGGACCTTGGCTTGCCTCGTTGCCTGACACTGTGAGTGCCATCCTAAGGTAATGTATTTGCTAAATGACAGTCATTTAGGCTGAATTTTGCTATGTGACTGTTGCTGCAAGCAACAGGGAAGTATCAGACCAGATAGTTTAGCTACTTCTGAAAAAAGGATTAGCATACCTACGCTTATTCCTTCWGAAAATACGAATTCCTTCTGGCAATCGACTTGCCAGAGCGGTGTCATTTTTACAACTGAAATGGAGATAAGAGGAAGATTTGGGGCAACTACAAAGCCATCAAAGCTCTAGTGACCTGCCTGCTTTCCTTCTTCTTCCTAAGTCACTTGAAGGAAGGTTGGACTTCTTGTTCACCACAAGAACCACCTGTGAACCTTCAGCAAATACATTTACATGAGGGGTTTGAAGGCCTTTGCTGGAAAAAAAACCTGTTATCTCAGAGGTACAGGACTGGGCTTTGGGAGGGGACAGCTAAAGTGTGGATAGGAAGCTGAGTGACACCAGGCAGGAATAGGGCAGAGGTGGGGATAACAAAGAGTTCCCTGGGGTGAAACGGGCAGCATATTGCAACAYCTTCAGACCAAAAAGTCACTTTAGTGTGAAAACCTGAGGTAGTTCTTGTGTGGGCATCTGAGAGCCTTTTGGAAAGTACCCATTGATTCCAAGAWATATTAAAGATGAGCACATGGATCCACCAACCGGAAAGAAAAGAGAAGCCAGGTGAGAAAATCTAGAAACAGAGGTCCCAAAAGCATT